AGGATGTAGCTAAGTGTAGGATGTAAGCTAAGCTTTTTTTTTTTTTTTTTTTTTTTTTTGGTACTGGGGATTGAATGGGGGGAGGGTTAACCACTTAGCTACATCCTAAAAAAACCAATCACAGTGTTTAAATCTTGATCTGGGTTCCAGTTATGCAAGTGTGTGTATGTAGTGTGTATGTGTATATATATATAACACAGACACACACACATATATACTTATATATGTACATATATGTAAAGACTCATTGATCTGGATATTAAAATTAATGCACTTTACATACCTTTCTATATGTATGTTATACACAGAGAATAAAAACAAAACAAAAGCCAGGCATGATGGTGCACATCTGTAATCCCAGCAGCTCGGGAGACTGAGGCAGGAGGATCGTAACTTCAAATCTACCATCAGCAAAAGTGAGGCACTAAGCAACCTCAGTGAGGCCCTGTCTTTAAATAAAAGTACAAAATAGGGCTGGTGATGTGGCTCAGTGGTTGAGTGCCCTAGTTCAATCCCCAGTACTCCCCCACAAAAGGGAAGGGGTGGTGCTGAGGATGTAGTTCAGTGGTTAAGTGCCCCTGGGTTCAATCCCTGGTACAAAAAAAAAAAAAAATTAGCAACAAAAAAGAAAAACCCCAGGCTGGAGCTGCAGCTCAGTGGCAGAGCACTTGCCTAGCATGCGTGAGGCACTACTGGGTTCTATTCTCGGTACCATATAAAAATAAACCAAAAGGCATTCTGTCCATCTATAACTACAAAAAAAATTTTTTTTAAATTAAAAAAAAAAAGAAAGCAAAATCCAAATAGTGCACACAGGAGAGAAAAATCAGAAACTTGCCTTTCTTAGCTCTTATTACAGATTTATTATAATTGATATATGGATGAGACCACCATAATCTTGACAATGCTTTGGGCTTCTAGATGTTCCTGGTATGCATAAATATTTGTTATAAGTGAGAAATTAATTTTGTTATTTCCATTGCCTGGCACAGATAGCAGCTGCCATACTTCATGTGTTATGAATGAATGAATGAATGAATGAATGAATGGGCTCTGTGAGTGTGGCAGCCCCAGTCTGAAGCTAATTCCAAGAGTCCCTCACATGAACTCTAAACCCTGCTCCTCCCTCTTCCCAGCCCAATGGCCCTAGCCCCTACCCCAGCAGCTCTGGATGCTGTCCCGGACTTCCAGCCCCCTGCAGTCTGGAGAGAGAGATCACAGAAATACCTCCAGTGGGACTGGGCACCATAGACAGAAAGGGGGGCAATCCAACCCATGGGGAACACCCTGTCCCCTAAATACTACCCACATCTATCCAGTGCACAAAGCTCTTCCGGAGGGGCCGGAAAATTGTGTCACATGGGGAGAGGAGGCCTGAGGGACTGAATCAGTCCCTTGAGAGGATGCAAAACTCAGACTCCTGCCTGAGATGAATGGTGAATGGGAAAGAGGGTAAAAGCAGGAGGGGAGTGGCTGGAGGGGACAGAAACTCAGAAGCTAGGATGTGGGGCTTCTGAGGTTCTGCAGGCACTTACCAGGCAGCTGCTGTGTGACGTTGAGTTCTTTCTGATACCTGGGCTGAGTATAGGACCAGATTCGCACCTCAGCTCCCACAGCAGCCTCAAAGCAGTCAAACACTACAGAGCCCTGTGAGGAAAAGGTGGTAGAAGGCTGGAGAGAGGCCCTGGTAAAGGGCTCAGAATCCAGACTGAGGGCTTGGGCTTCTCTGCATGGACCACTCTGCTCACCACCTGCCTTTCCTAACCAATGACTCCATTATACCAAATAGCCTGAAATCTACCATCAGAGTTCCCACTGAAGGTCTCCAATTCTGAAGCAAACATCCTTTGTAGCAGCGTGGGCAAGGCAAGAATGGGCTCTAGCTATCCCAGTCCCTGCCCCAACCTCTGCTGGCCTGGACCACTTGGCCAAAGCTAAGCTGATGAGATACCCAGCACAAATGTGGGACACCCCTCCCTACAGAAGTGGTTCTCATACCCAGTGCCTCAGTAGGACTGAGGTGGGCTAAGAATTTCTCCCATTGTACAATTTTCTAGCTGGGGCCCAGGTGTGCAGGAGTAGTCATAGAGTTTGAGTGATCTGACCCTAGCAAAGATAGCTCTTTGAAACATGTGTGAGTCCTGAGGCAGGGAGAAGTCTCAACACCTTGAACCAGGTGTATATACCATGGGATGGCAGGATTCTTATTCAAGAGTTTGGAGAAGTGCATGCAGACCACAAACTACCCCTCTCCAAGCCTCAGTCTCTCTATCTGGAAAATAAGGGTGATAACAATGCCTCGTTCATGGGGGATAGTTCTCAGTATTACAAAAGAAAGGAAAAAAATTATTGATATCCTTCAGCACTGGGTATTATACAAAGTGTCTTACAGATAATAATTTATTTAATTCTTAAAACAGCCATATGCAGGGCTGGGGATATAACTCAGTTGGTAAAGTGCTTGTCTTGCATGCACAGGGCCCTGGTTCAGTCCCCAGCACCAAAAAAACAAAACAAAGAAAACCTAGCCATATGCAGTAGGACTATTTTTTTTTTAAAGTAGTAACCCCCCAAATTTATTTATTTATTTATTTATTTTTGTGTGGTACTAGGGACTGACTCCAGGAGTAGTTTACCACTGAGCTACATCCCCAGGCCTTTTTGTATATTTTATTGAGACAGGGCCTTGTTAAATTGCAGAGGCCAGCCTTGAACTGGTGATCCTCCTGTCTTAGCCATACTAGTAGCTGGGATTATAGGCAACTAAGAAAAAAGAGAGAGAGAAAAAAAAGAGGGGGGAAAGAAGGAGGGAAGAAGGGAGATAGAGAGGAAGAAAAGAAAGGAAGGAAGGAAGGGAAAAAAGAAAGAAGAAAGACAAGAGAGGGAAAAAAAAATCCACAATGATAAACCACTATACACATAGTAGAATGGCTAAATTTTACAATTATAATACCAGTGTTGACAAAGATGGGAAACAATTAGAACTCCCATGTACTGCTAATAGGGATGAAATAGTAGAACTCTCCTTGATAGTTTTTCACAAAGTCAAACATATGAGGTAGGATATTCTCAAGCCCATTTTACACACAGAAAAACAGAGGCACGAAGGGAAATAATGCATATGAAAGTGTTTTCTAGAGTTCATATCTAGCAGGTGGTTATTCTGGTTGTGAGAAGGAGGGTTTCACATACCACAGACTGACCAGGCTGCACCAGGGCAGCAGGCACTTGCACCTCCAGCAGGACACAGCGGGTAGTAGGGTAGGCATGGAAGGACAGCACGACTTGGGCCTGCAGAGAGGCTGTGAGCAACAGGCAGGTGTCAGGCAGGCCAGGGATTATGGGCAGGGACCAGGGACCCTGGTGAGGGCCAGTTGGGCCAGCAGGTTCTTCTTACCATTCGTAGGCTCCTCAAGCTCCAGGTCAGCTGCTCCTTCAAATTTTTCTTCCTCTCCAGACTCTTCCCAATGCTCTGGAAGGACCAGAGAGCAAGGACCAGATCAGATCCCCAGCTCTGGGCTGGCTTTGGGCGTGGCTTCCTTCTAAAAAGTCCAGTGCTGAGAAGCATGGGCCAGGCCTCGAGAAACCAGGTGGACCATGGAGTCCTTTGGCCAGTCATCTCAACACTGAAGATGCCTATTACTGCCTGACATACTCCCTGGCCCTCATGCCTGTGCTAAACATGCTGACATGTACACATGCAGTCTCAGGATGACTCACTCACCTTGCACGGCCAAGTGGACAACCACACGTACACATAGGTCACAGTCTGTCTCCTGGTGGCACCTCAGCACTAGCTCTGTCTGCAGGCGCGTGGGCACCAGCACAGGGCCTGGGGTGGACACGATGCTCCCAGGTAAGCAGAGCACATCACCATCTGTTTATGAAGGGTGGGGTGGAAGCTGAAGTTGTTCAGAACCCAGTTTAGTTGTACCTACATCCCAGAGCACCAAGGAGCTTAGCTCTTCCTGGGATGAGGGTGAGCAGAGTAGGCATGGGGCTAGGAAGGTTTCTCTTCCTTTCATCAACATGGAAAGTTCTTTTCTCTATAAAAGAGGAAATACTGCCCAACGTGGTGGCACACACCCACAATCCCAGCGGCTTGGGAGGCTGTGGCAGGAGTATCACAAGTTCAAAGCCAGCCTCAGTAACTTATCGAGGCACTAAGTAACTCAGGGAGACCCTGTCTCTAAATAAAATTCAAAAAAGGGCTGGGGATATGGCTCAGTGGTCAAGTTTTCCCCTGAGTTAAATCCCCAGTACCAAACAACAACAACAAAAAAGTGGAAATACTTACCCCAGAGGTGGCAGGATAGGCCCTTGAAGGGAGGGAAAGTAGAGTCAGAATTTATACCCCCAAGTCTAAGCAACCTCCCCCTCCACCTCTTTCTGAAGTTCTCTATCTCAAGTCTCCCTCCAGAAGAGGGACCAGCCCCTTCCTATTCTTCTCTTCCCCCATCCATACCAGACAGACCAGCCAGGGCGGTTCTGGTGGCAGTGGCAGTGACAGGAGCCAGACTAAGGATTTGATGAGCTGTAGCCTGAACCCTGAGCCTCCCCAACCGTCCCAGGGCCTCCGACTCACCAAAGAGCAGCGGGCAGCATCCTGAGGCCCCACAAACCTCTCCAGAGAGACAACCATGGGATTTCGGCCCAATGCCAAGGACAGCAGGAACCAGGGCACAGGCATCTTCCAGGTGCCAGGAAGAACCCAGGCCTGGGGCCCTGTCCTGCCCCCCCCCACACGGGGGGGCAGACACCCTATCCCAGCCCCCACTCAGCCCAGTGTCTGTGGGCAGTGGAGCTGGAATCCCTCCCCAGCCTCAGGGGTCCCAGCACTTGAGAGCTTATGAGCTCCCACTCCTGGGAGCCCTGACTCCAGTCCCAGTTCCAGCCGAGTGCTTTCGATTTGGCTCCCAGCAGGCAACCGGCTGTTCCCGCCCCGCCCTGTCCCTCCCACCCACACCAATCCTGGCTTCCAGCAGTCTTGCACTGGGATGGTGGCCTCTCCTCCTCCTTTATAGCTGACACCTAACTGGGAGGGGACCCCAGGAAGACGGTGCAGCATCATAGCTGAGCAAGGGAATTCCTACTCATCCTGGGAGTCCTAAAAAGGAGCTCCAACTGAATCCAGCCCAGGGCTTGGGCAATCCTGGGGCACTTCCACTTCCCCTGTGAACCTGAGATCCCAGGGCCAATGGGTTCCTTCTTAGGGATACCTCGGGTCCCTTTTCACACACTTTCCTGGGTCTCATTGTCCCTTTGTGGGACAGGAGCTCTAAAAGGTACCAGAAAGTAGCTTTTCCCCACTGCCCAGACTAGGCTCAAGTATGTTATGGGGGAAGGAAAACAGGACCCAGAGCCAGGACGAAGTCCTGCCTGTGCTATTGCCATGGCTAATCACAGGAGGATGAACACACCACCTAGTAGAGCTTGTGTTTCTCCTCCCTCCTCTTGAAAGAATCACTGTGAGGATCCAGGAGATTGCTTGGTCCTCCTTTGCCTTGCCCAGGTACTACTTGTGAGAACGCATGGTCAAGGGTGTAGGTGTGCAGGCAGAAGATTTGGACTCACAAACTGATACAACCCCCCCATACACCCCATATCCCCCATACTTCACAGGCTCACAGGGACCCTCTTCCAACTTGGCATTCTAGCCATACTAGAGAAGCATGTTGTGTTCCGTCCTTTATAATGTACACTTTTATTCATCTTTCTGGATCCTGCTCCACCTTTAGCCTTGTCACCCAGGACCAAAGCAACTTTTCCTTGGTCAAGAGTCCTCCCTTGGTCCAAAAAATATGGAGAACCCTGGCCCCAGGTGTTTTTCTTCCAACCCCCTGAAGGACTGACAGCTCTTGCAGTCACCACCCTTGTGGCATCCCCTCCAGCATGGACTAGAGCCCTGGCAGACAGCTCTTCCTGGAGCTTTAGAGAGCTCGAGTGGGAAGAGGGCCCTCTCTCCATCAGAACCTGGGTCTGAGTTCTCAGTTGAAGGGCACCTCTCTCCCCTAGAGTTTGTAAGAGGCAGGCAAGTCTGAAAAGGAAACCCAAAACTATGAGGCCCAGGCTAGGCCTCTTGGATTAGGAGGCAGACAAGAAGGCTTTTCTGTCAATAGTCCTTAAGAGATCCCCTAAGGAATCCAGGTCCAAAGGCTCATTCTGGGGTCTCAGTCAGTGCCCCTACAGACTGTGGCCACAAACATCTGGGACTGCTGTGGAACCCCGCCGAGCTTTGGCAGCTGAGTTTGGCGGCCTCACGTTCTAGTTGGCGGCACAGCTCCAGACGGCCACGCAAGCACTGCTGAGCCCCAGGGTGGCTCCAGCTGGTGGCTCGGGTGGAAGGCCGAGCGCCCAGAGCCCGCAGCAGGCGCGGCAGGTCTCTGAGCAGGCGGTAGCGTGGCAGGGCGCGCAGCGGCTGAGGAATGTCGCCTTTGGCACAGAGCCGACTGAAGTAAGCGAGCAGCAACAGCGGGCGCGGGGCAGCCCGGAGCAAGGCGCGCAGGGAAGTGGCGCCAGGATCCAGGCCTTGGGTGGGACCAGGGCCTGCGCCACTCCACAGCAGCAGCACGGTGCCCTGCTCCCGTGCCACGCGCGCCTGCGCTGCCCAGAGCCACGGCAATGGGCCCACTCGTGCCATGTGTGTCCCCTCCCACAGGTCTACAATCACGTCGCATCCACCGCCCAGCGCTGTCCGAAGCAGTTCAGCCAGAGCTCCCACTAGGCGCTGCTGAGGTTCTGAGTCCGCTGCGTGCAGGAGCAGCACCAGTCGCACTCTGCCCCGGCCTGAGGGTGGGAGCAACACCTGAACAGAGTGGGGCGGGGCGGGGGAGGGCAAGGGACAGCCGGCCCTCTCCTCCCCAGCTACACCGGCCCTCTCCTCCCCAGCTACATCGTAGAGTGACTCCCTCACCCCACCCCACCCCCACCCCCGCTGCCTCCTATCTGTGCTGAAGAGTCAGTACCTAGGGCAGCTTGGACCCATAAGGTTCTTGTGGGCTAATTAAATAAAGTCACACCTTATGGAGCACACAACACTTGGCAAGCTCCGTGCAGACTGGAGTTTTGCCCCCCTGGCCTCTGGCCCACTGTCTTGGTACCGAGATAACCTACAGAGGACCCTTTGCTCTGCCTTAACCATTTATGCCCACTAGGGGGCCTGAGAGACTTAGGGGCACAGGTCGGGAGCTGGCGGGGCG